TTAGCTACGAAGTAAACTAGAGGTTCTGGGCAGGAGGGTCAGTGACTCTGTTCATGGCTAAAGTTCAGGTCCCTGTTTATTTGTCTCTGGTATCCTGCTTCCTGTTTAGGTTCAGCTTTATTTACAGTTTTTAGTTTTTCATCTATTGTAACTAATTATGGATTTTCTGATGTATGTAAGGGATGTTTTGAAAATGGACTGAAGGAAAATTAAGGATTTTATTTATATGAGTCACAGGGGCCTGTTTAACGAAGCGGGTTTAACAAACTCAGATTTAAAACCAGAACTCTGAATAAAAATAGAATGGTTCTATAGGGTATCTGGTCCTTCAGGTCTCTGAATAGGATGTGTAACATTGGTTGGGCTGAAAATGGCATATTAGCTGTTCTATGAGCTTTAATGCAGCCTGCTTAAAAGCCCTACAATGAAACGACAGGTTTTCTTCCTTTTATGGTTTGATCATTAATATTTAGATGAGCTGTGCTCTGATTGGTTGGTTGACAACGAGCCAAGCTGCTGAGCAAAGACGTATCATAGCAACAAGAACTCACTCACTAAAACATCAGATTGTTGAGATGGTAGGGTGACCAGATCCCTACTTTTCATGCCTAAAAAATGTCCGGGGAGGAATTTCAAAATTGTCCAGGATTTTGGTCGACTACAGCGCAGCATGTAGTCGAAACGCACCTGGCACTCGAACCGAGACGTCAACTTCCTTGGCTGGTGTGGGAATTCCGGCGGAGGCGGGCGGGGAGCCAGCAGGGTACGGGATGACCGAACCCAACCCGGTGACGGTAGACTGGACATCGGCGGCCCTGTGCTATCCCCCGCCTGCCTTACTGGCCCCCAGACCCCCTCCTCCGGCTGAGGATGGGTGGCTCATGGCTCTCTGCTGAGGTCCGGTCCAGTCAGCAACCCAGCAATCGGACTTCATACCACCCCCCCCCCAAAAAACAGTGTCCTCCTTTTCAGAAACCCAAATCTGGTCATCATAGATATGCTAGCATTGCTATCAACAGCTTAGCAACAGAATCATACTTCCAGCTTGCAGTTGTGATGGCCTTACGGTCGGAACAGCTCCTTATTTCAGTAAAAGAAGTTCAGCAAATCCTGCTTTGAACTGTCCAAGATTTTAAAAGCCGTCTTTGGTAAAATGCTTATAGCAAATGAACAGCTAAGCATCAAACTTTGCAGGGATCATCTGATAGACAAAAATAACCCATTCCTGTCGAGTCTTCGGATTCTTAAGAAGACTGAAAATGTTCCCCTTTCTCCATGCAGCCTGGAACGTTGCATTTACGCCTGTGATTCTGGCTCAGTTTCAATGGAGTAACTGCCTGTCATCAGAGCCAGCGCTTTAAAGTATAATATTCTCACCTCAAATGATCTTAAAACGTACATTTATTGAACAAGAGCAACAGACAAGAGAACTTTTTACTTTCAATGGAGCGCTCCACTGAAAGCTGCTGCTGCCGCAGTGCATGCTGGGACAGCTGTCAATCTCCAGAACGGACAAGTCTACTCTGATGCAACATCCCGGGATTTGGTGCGTTCGCGGTCTGCCGTTCTCTGCAACTGGAAAAGTGCTCTGGCTGAGTCTGATGACAGGAACGCATGTTGAGAAACGGACAAAGTCTAAAAACTTTGTTCAAACAGGTCAGACTTGTTCATCACGCCATGGGGTTCCTCCTTGTTTCAATTCTGTCTTCCATCACACAGTAAATACTAGGGATGGAACGGTTCACTAAATCAATGGTTCGGTTCGGTTCATGGTTTCGTGGTCACGGTTTTCGGTTCGGTTCGGTGTATGTTGATTGTTACCCACGAAATCCCATAAAAATTAATGAAATTAATGAAAAAATGCCCAAAAAATAATAAATTGTAATCATTTTTAACATTTCCGTATGTTTTGCTGCTTTGACTTTAATCATCTGGCGCATGCCCTCTACAATTTCCAAGGAACTCAGAGCGGAGCGGACGGGAGCCACAGTGGAGGCTGTAGGCTTTGCTTTGAGCAGCCGGTCTGGAGCGGACGGAGTATGAGGGATTTCAGGGTTAGCATGACATGTTGGTCATGTTGCTGTTAGCATAAACAAAACGTGTTGCACAAGGCTTGCACACTGTTGCACTTTTATCCACCACTTTCTTTCCGCCGTCATCGTAGGTCACTCTAAATGCAAAGTGGTCCCATACAGCAGACCTATAAAGTGCTGCAGGCGCGTCTTCCAACTCCTGTTCTTTCCCACTCGCCATACCCACACAATTCTCCACAACAACTGATTTTTTTCTGCTACACCCGGCTAAGCTGCTTCGCTTCTTCTTCTTCTTGTTTACTACTGGTGGTTGGCTTTGGTCGCAGTACCGCCACCTTCTGCTCTGGAGTGTAAACGCTTCACCTATGAGAAAAAGGAGCAGCAACACACGCGAACCGAACCGAGACAGTCGAACCGAACGGTTCGGACGGTTTTCATAAACCGTCCCATCCCTAGTAAATACTAAGTGGCTGTTTCCAGCTGTTATCCCAATAAATGGTCGTTTTTAGAGCTTATCATTCCCATAGAATGGCTTCAGATTGTGGCTTAGTAGGTTGTTATCACTAGGATTATCATTAGGAGTAAATCCTAATCCTAAAATAATTTATTTTTCCCGCAAAATTAATTAATATATTGATGTGTAATCTGAAAATAATTTCATTTATTCATGTACTATAGATAAATTAATTTTTTAAAATTATCAACAGCCTAGGAAAATCTAAAATAGCCAAAAGTGTTGCTGTTATAAGAAGAATTAGTTTCGTCCTGGATTACAAATCTTTGTTTATTCTGTACAACACACTCATTGTACCACATTTAACATATTGTGTGGAAGTTTGGGGGAATACATACAAAACAAATTTACAGACATTATACGTTTTACAAAAGAAATCAATCCGAATACTACCTAAAGTGGGATACTGGGAACACACAAACCAGTTATTTATCAAATCAAATATACTGAAATTCTGGGACCTGGTAATATTTAGAACTTCACAATTCATGTTTAAGGTCCGAAATCAAAAACTTCCACACAATATACAGGACATGTTTGGTGACAGAGAAGGGGGTTATGATCTAAGAGGTGAAGGATACTTTAAAAAACAACACTTTAGAACAACCAGGAAGAGTTTTTGTTTATCTGTGTGTGGAGTAAATGTCTGGAATGGATTTAATGACGAGTTTAAAAAAATTCAAAATGCAAACCAATTTAATAAACTGATTAAAACCGAGCTCATTTCAAAATACGCTATCTAAGAGGACTGTTTAATAGTCTATAATGTAATTGATGACATAAATAGAACTTAAAATAATTGTACATGGCTAAACATCATGTGGAATGGTTTTTTGATGTTTTGACATTTAATTGAGGATAAATTGACAAGTAGGAAAGGGGCAGGACATTATAAGATGTATCTTCTACCTGCTCCTTTTCGAACAGAAAATATAAAATTTACATCTCACATGGGCAACATAATTTGTTTTATATTTTCATTCTTAAGTTTGTTTCATTCAAATTTCTTTTCTTTCTTGATTGTTTTTACTGTCTGTTCGAAAAAAAAAACAAAAAACAAAACATCTCGCTCATATTAAACAAACCAAAAGCAAGTTATCTCTTATCCTGTCAACTGAGTTGTAGAATTTTTCCCTATAAATATTGCAATGTTAGTTTTTAAAACCTAATCTGTCTAACGGACCTAGTGACTTTTTTTCTTTAGAATGCACAAAACTACGACAAAAACCTCCTGACTAAATCAGGAAATCAAACCTGCTTCTGGAAACAGATCCCAGATGTCTAAGTGTTTCTTGTAGGATGCATGTTTGTTTTCCTCACTCATTTACACAGCGGATCACTGAAGCAGCTCACAGTCATGCATAGAGAGGTCAGATAGAATCTTATGTTTACCTCAGAATGAACCTTGAACTGAAGTTCCTGCCTTTATTTGCATCCTGTCTCTGATTCTTCCATCTCTATATGTTATCAGTAGGGATGCAGGATATAATCGGCCCCCTATCGGTATCGGCCTTAAAACTGAATATCGGACATCGGCCACCCCACCGATATTTAACCCGATATTTTATCAGCTTCTTAGTTTCTAAAGTCTAAAAAATAAATAAATACTACTTCTTCTTCTTCCTCAAAAACTTCTTTTTTACAGACTTAAAAACTTTTAAAGAGGGAAAAAATATTGATACATTAAAATATCCCAATATCTTCATATGCTGATATATTGCCATTTAAAAACACCATATCAATCTCTTTTACTAATGAAATATTGCTATATGTCATCGTTAGGCTACGAAATCCCCCGAAAATTCACGAAATTTTGCCATATTTTTATATGTTGATATATTGACGCGGTATCGATCTATTTTACTAACAAAATCTCACAAGAATTTGCAAAATATCACGAGAGTTTGTAACAGAACGATGAAATTTCACGAGATTTTGAAAGTAAAATAGATCGATACCGCGTTTTTAAAAATCAATTTGATATCAGCATATGAAAATATATTTGAGTGTATTATTTTTCCAAGTGTCAGAAATGGATAACAAAACTGCTATTTTCAATGACTACTTATTTTTGTCCAGCTTTAACATCGGTATCGATATCGGTTATCGGCTACATGAGTTTTAAAATATCGGCATATCGGATATCGGCCAAAATCCCAATATCGTGCATCCCTAGTTATCGGCTCCTCGAAGAGGATCAAAATCAGTTTCCTTTATTTTTATTCTAAACATCCTCCCACTATTTTACAGTTAGAGATGTTTGTTTGATAGAAAGTTTTGTTCTCAAACATAAATATAAAGTAGGAAAAACAGGCATTTATGTTACAGAAGAAGCGGTATATCATGTCCAGGTTCTCACTCCACACCTGGACGACTGTTGCTATACAAGCATTCAGAACAGGAGAAGCCTCAGCTCTATAGCTCAGGTGTGACCAGAGGGATTTGTGTTGCAGGTATCATGTATGTGTGACCATCCTGATCTACTTCCTTCCGCTGCTGGTGATGGGCTGTGCTTACCTGGTGGTGGGCCTGAACCTCTGGGCCAGTGAGATCCCAGGAGACTCCTCTGACCGCTACAAGGAGCAGCTCACTGCCAAACGCAAGGTAGGCAATATTTTTATTTTTTATAACCACTATCTTTAAATTTTTATTCATTATTATAATTTTTTTGTTTGTTTGTCTTGTGTAAAGCTCAAACGGGTGGGATTCATAACGTTTTCTAAGTCTAGTTCTTCTCCTGTGGCTCCCATTGGTTTGTTTCCTTTCTGCATACATGTTATCTGAATGAGTATTGTTCCTCAGATCCGCCGGCATTCTTCATCTTTCAGCAGAGAGTTGTTCAAAGTCTTGTTTTGTTCTTCCTTTGTAATTTCTCCTGAGATTGAATAATAAATCCACAAATCGGAGCAAAGCACTTGCAGCTGTTATCTGGTGCTGCAGATGTTTTTTCCGGCCCTCCTGAGATCCCTTCAACTAACTACTAAACCTTTGTTCCTTTATTTTTCCTGCCTGCCTTCTTTTTATGATTTCAGTGCTTTTCATGACATGATTTAGAGTCTTTGAACCATTCAGACTTTTTGTTTTTCAGAGACCTGTAGTGATCAGTAGATGAGTATTGACAATGTAAAGTCTGCTTTTAGAGTTTTGTCCTAAATTACTCCCGATGTCATCCTTTTTAAATATTTGTTCTTTATAAAGTTGAATCATCTTAGAATGCACCAAATTTTCCAGCTTTCTTGCTGCCAGCCTCTCACATCGGTTTTATTTTCAGTTCACTGACAGTGATCAGTCTGTGATCGTCTGTTTCGACCCAACGAAGCGCCTGAAGCTATTAACATTTTCATCTTGCCGGTGAAGAGTTCATATAAATAGAGGTTTTCTCTTTATTTTTTTCCTCCAACTGTAAGTTTTGCTGCAACACGTTGGACCGGCAGGGAGAGTGAGGGTAGTGGAGATAAATCACTGCACCACTGCTCAGTGCAGAAACAATTATAATTTAAACTGGAGACATCGACGCTAAGTAGGCCTGAAACAATTAACCTGATTATTGAAATAATCGTCGAATAATTTATTAATCGATTAATTGTTTACTGCAGCATAGAGACTCTAAAATGTGCCTTTAGGGCCCTGATGTCCCAGAATCTCCTAAAACGCTGAACTTTTTATCTATTTTTTCATTTGGGCGCATACATAGGGCCGGATCTATCAAAGGTTTGCGTGTATAAAAACGTGAGCTATTTCACTGCGCACGCTAAAAAATGTACAAACTGATCTATCTTCAGAGAGGACAGGGTTTCAAGGAAATACAATTTTTTCTTCACATGCAATGCCATATGTCAGCACAAGGTCTAAAGTATGAAGATGAGAATGTGTGGGACTATTCACATTTTTAACAAAGACAATAGCATCTAAGATAGCATTAAAGGCTGAATTTAAGCTATAACCTTCAATGTCAGCATTTGTGGCTTTGAAGTTTGGATTAGGGAAACTAAGGGTTAATAAGGGTTTGTAATTATTAACTTTCAGTAAGTCAGACTAAAAGATGGTTGCTACTTCTCCTAATTTCTCAGAATTTCTCGGTATGTGAGAATTTAAATACCTCATTTATGCTCACATAATCCTTTTGCTGCAACCATGTTTCTGTAAGGCAACATAAATACATGTGATTATCACAGATCAAATCATTAACTAAAATACTTTTTGAAGAAAGTGATCTTATGTTTAATAAACCACATATAATTGTTTTAACTTTTACCCCAATTGGAGTTATTTTTATTTTCACTCCTTTAGAAATCTTTTATAATTTTACTGATTGACGTCCCTGGTCTTGGTGGCTCCGGGCACTTAAGAAGAGGCCCTTCTCTTACTCTTCTATGTTCAACAGCCTGAAGCTGAAATTTTAATTCTGACACCCTCGCCTCCAAAGCTAAAAAAAATACTACACTTATTACACATATCATTGTCACTAAATTAGGCAGAGGAATAGCTTCACATCTGACACAGAGAGCAGGAGAGAGGAGAATAAGAAGAAACAGTGGTAAAAGAGTCAGGAGTGGGAGAGAGAGAAGCCATAGCGGTGTTAAGCAAGTGCTTGCCTAGGCTAGGTGCTCCCTACTACCAGAATTAAAAATGTGTGAAAGCGACAGGTACTCAGTAAAAAAAGTGCAGCTGGACGGTTAGATTTAGTTAAATACAGAGATATCACTGAAAAAAAAAACTTATTCAGACAGAGATAGGCTTAACAACAACGCAGCTGAGCAATCAAAACAGGAAGTGAACATGATACGTCTCACCAACAACAGTGGTAGCACCCTCAATTACAAAATTACAGTGGAAACACATCACAAGTCTATCGAAATTTGATGTAATTCCGTTTAAACAGATCAAAATTAGGCTCGATATTGTGTGAGGCCCCCACCTGCCTGCAAGACTTCCCTACAACACCTGGGCATGCTTGATGAGGTGATGGATGGTCTCCAGAGGGATTCCCTCCCTGACCTGGACTAAAGTGTCCGCAAAGTCCTGAACAGTCTGTGGTGCAATGTGACATTGGTGGATGGATCAAGGCATGATCTCCCAGATGTGCTTAATCGAATTAAGGTCTGAGGAATGGGTAGGCCAGTACATAGCTTTAGTGCCTTCATCTTGCAGGAACTGCTGACACACTCCAGCCATGTGAGGTCTAGCACTCTCCTGCATTAGAAGAAACCCAGAATAAACTGAGGATCTCATATCAGTAATGGCATTCATGCTACCTGTGGCAAGCACATGAAGAGTTGTGCAAAGAAATGTGAACCCACACCATGACTGGTCCACTACCAGACTGGTAATGCTGAAGGATGTTGCAGACAGCAGATAGCTCTCCACGATGTCTCCAAACTAAGTCACATATGTCAGATGGTTTCTGGCAAATGCCAAGCGGCCTGCATGGTGTTGGGCTGTGAGAGCATCCCTGATTTGTGGAAGTCTGGCCCTCATGCCATCCTCATGGAGTCTTTGTGTAGACACTTTGAGTTTGTGCAGACACATGCACATTTGTGGCCTGCTGAAGGTCATTTTGCAGGGCTCTAGCGGTGCTCCTTCTGTTTCTCCTTGTACAAAGGAGGAGGTAGCGGCCCTGCTCCTGGGTTGTTGCCCACCTATGGCCTCCTCCATGGCTCCTGGTGTACTGACCAGTCTTCTGGTAGTGCCTTCTGCCTCTGAACACTAGGCTGACAGACACAGCAATCCTTCTTGCCACAGCTCGTATTGATGTGCCATCCTTGATGAGCTGCACTACCTGAGCCAATTGTGTGGGTTGTAGAATCTGTCTCATGCTACCACGAGTGTGAAAGCACAACCAGCACAACTTGATGAACTCTGCCAAAAGCAGAGGTAATGTCAGGGAGATCTAAAACTGTATAATCTACATAGTTAGCTGCTATCAGTATGTCACGGGACAATTTAAGTAAAACCGTTTCTGTTACGTTCACAAATCCCAGGCTGGAAATTGTCCAATTTATTGTTTTTTCTTCAGAAAAATGATAAAGTTGTTATAGCATAACTTTTTCAAGAAGCTTTGGCAAACACAATGTTTGTGTAAAAGCCTCTAAGCAAGGGTAGGGAGAGACTGAGATGAGATTTCTTTAAAATGACCAATCGCTTGTTTATAAATGTCAGGAACTAAGCCCATTTGAAGGGAAAGATTAAGAATATTTAAAAAACAGGGTCCAATGGAAGCAAACTCATTAATCAATGAACTGGGAAGACACCAAGTTGGCTTTTAGTCAGTTTCATACAACCAATGAAAGTAATCATGCCCCCCAAAGGGCCAGGAATAAAATGGGCCAGGTTAAAAGAATATGACTCATACTATATTCTTGACAAAACAGAGGTGAAAAAGAAATGGATGACCTTAAATTAGCCGCCTCATCTAAAAAGAATGTCAAAAGCTGATTGCATATCAGCTTTAGTATTGACTGGAACATCAGGAGCCACAATATTCATAATGGTATCAAACATGGCCTCTTTTCAGAGGCAGCGTTATTCAGAATTCTCAGACAAAATAGAATTTCTCTTTTTAACATGTAATTTGGTAAGAGAGTTACCTCTTTGAGATGTAACTTGTGCACTTTTGGATGTTTTCTCCAAAAGTTCAGTTTTCTCACAATATCTTCGGTGGCACAGTGGTTGGTGCGCACGACCCATGTATGGAGGCCTTAGTCCTCGACGCAGCCGACCCGGGTTTGAATCCGACCTGTTGTCCTGAGCCGCATGTCTCTCCCCCTCTCTTATACCCACTTTCCTGTCAGCGTACTGTTGAAAAAATTAGGCAACAAAAAAAAACATTTGAATTTCATAAAACTCTAAAAGATAAAATAGTAGTAACTAGTGTTTAGGGCATAGTGCTTGGAATCCTGAGGTTTTGAGTTCAAAACTCACTCCCACAGGGTGCCATTATGGATCTCTGACCAAGACCCTTAACTCCCCATTGCTCTCCTGGTGCCCCACAATGGCAGCCCACTTCTCTCCAAGGGGATGGTTTAATCCCCAAGGGGTTGCAGAGGTAAATTTCTCCAATGTGAGATCAATAAAGTTCAGTTATTATCATTATTATCTTTTATAGTTTCAGTTACCCAAGGCTGTAGCCTGCTCTTAAAAGTCCAGCAGTTATTTGTCTAAAAGGAGGTTCTGCACTAAGTAGATTCACAATGACTGTCTGTAGCTTTAACAAGTTTGGAAGCATCAATTTAATCAATTTTGAAACCAGATAGAAATATAGAAAATCTTTCAGGGGCATCTTGATTAACGATGATTCTTTCTATTAAACCTGTCAGAGCTCAGAACAGAGATCCCAGGCAGACAAATAGTACGATATCTCAAAAGGCGTTTATTTTAAGTGATGGTTCTGCAGTGAACAGCTGGGGCATCTAAGGCAGGAACCTCTGCTAGAAGAAAGCAGGTTAGTAAAAAACGTCAACCTGGCAGAAGATGATTATGAACGCGTGGGTCACTAACCTGGTTTACGAATTCAGTCAAAAATCAGGAATGAAAGGAGAAAATAACAATCTGTGATCATTAGTATCACTTTAGAATCAATAGCATTTGTCATTTAGCAAATAGTTAATTCATCAAATACTCAGAAAGTGTTTAAATGGAAGATTTTAAAAGGATGTTTTTTGTTATTATGTAATTACATTGGATTGGTAGATTTACAGAATCAGATGCTGCTTGTTCAACCAAGAAGAAGCATCTGAGCAGCATGTTTCTACAGACAAGACCAATAATTAGAAATTAGGATTTTCGATATTCCCAAAGTTTATGAGATTAACGAGATTAATGGGGTTAACGTGATCAGTGGTATTGATAAAGAGTTTTTGTAGGAAGCAAAGGATTGGGGTGATCGGACCGAGGCCCTCTAGCCTAAAAGATTAAATTTTTTTATTCTGGCTTTTATAATTGTATAGGCAGACCTTCCCCACGTAGGTACATAAGCTCTGAAAGTTATCAGTAAAAGCAATTAGCAGCTAAATTCAGGGTTTTGAGGTTGTTGAATGATACCCCACTGCAGATGAAATGTTCCTCATGATGTGTGGTCTTTTTGTCCAATAGGTAGTGAAGATGATGATCGTGGTGGTGTGTACGTTTGCCATCTGCTGGCTGCCCTATCATGTCTACTTCCTGCTCCACCAGTTCTTCCCTGAGTTGTTTGAGGAAACATACATCCAGCAGTTTTATCTGGCCATCATGTGGTTGGCCATGAGCTCCACCATGTACAACCCCATCATCTACTGCTGCCTCAACGACAGGTTAGTGAGCACCTTCACACCTACTAAAACAGCTAACGCTAATTTACAATTAAGACCTTTTATTTTATAAATATTAATTTCCTTGTGGAGAAAATATGTTTATGAATGTTTTTGAATGATCAGATTAGCTGTTTTAAAGATTGTTCTGATATATTTAAAGGAATAGTACACCCAAATCATGATTAGCCTTCATTTTCTACTCACCCCCATGCTGAACAACACTCTGGAGTACTTTTTTGATATCTCAAATGCATCTGGAGATCTGGGAGGCTTCTTGCTGTCTGCTGACATTCAAATAATGGAGGTCTATGGTGCCCGAGGCAGAAAGGTCCATAAAAGTCCACAAAAAACGTGTCAATATTCCTCCATACTGCTCGTCCAATGTATTCCAAGTGTCCTGAGTGGGTAGCATCCAGAATTTACTCGAAACGAAGTCATTTAGAATGTTTTTAGAGCATAAACAGTAGTGTATAGGATTTCCTGAAAGCGCGTTCACGAGTCTACAGAAACCGCGGCAGACCAAACCAGATGAAAGTGCGCATTCAGCTCGGCAAAGAACTCATGCTCTTCCTCAACACTGAAGTCCTCAGACATTTTTCTTTCGTTGTTTCTTTCTTTGCACAGGTAAACAGCACATTTCTTCTTCTACGCTTGCATTATCGGCAGAGCAGACGCTGAATGCGCACTTTCATCTGGTTTGGTCTGCCGGCTTCCGTAGCTTCCTGAACGCGCAGGCGCGTGCTTTCAGGAAATCCTATACACTACTGTTTATGCTCTAAAAACATTCTAAATGACTTCGTTTCGAGTAAATTATGGACGCTACCCACTCAGGACACTTGGAATACATTGGACGAGCAGTATGGAGGAATATTGACACGTTTTTTGTGGACTTTTATGGACCTTTCTGCCTCGGGCACCATAGACCTCCATTATTTGAATGTCAGCAGACAGCAAGAAGCCTCCCAGATCTCCAGATGCATTTGAGATATCAAAAAAGTACTCCAGAGTGTTGTTCAGCATGGGGGTGAGTAGAAAATGAAGGCTAATCATGTTTTGGGTGTACTATTCCTTTAAGCAAATTGCTGCTATCCAAACTTTTGAACTCAGAAATAAGGGATGTTGACTGCTGTGACCAGGCTAAGTTCCCCCAGCAGTATAAACCATCAGTGTGTATTACTCTGCATTTTTTGCATTTAAACACTAAATAAACACATTGATGGACAGAAAACTTACATTTCAGTGTTTGTGTAAATGAGATTTAGCTGAGACGTGCCATCAGTAATATGACTATTACTATATTCTATCCACCTAGCGGAAGGTCGAACAGGAAAGAAATCCCCAGAGATCCAAATATCATAACAATGAGTTGGGTGGGAATCAGGGATAAAAGTAGGTTTTAAAGAGGGTTAGAAATGGAGAGATTATAATGCAGCTTTAAATTTCAAAGAAGAGGCAATGACTTTCCTCCTGAAAATAAAAGTGCTAATGACCTCTATTTGTCATTGCAAGTGAAAATTCCTAGGATTTACTTTGTGCATTTAACTCATCACTCTAAGGAAGCCGTGAGCAGCTTAATGCTGCTGGGGAGCATTGGGGAGTTCCTCCATTCACTTCCTGAACATTTAATGTTTAGAGATGATCTTATTAAGAACAAATAGCATACAACAAAATAACTACACAGTGGAGATCCATGCAGGTCTGTTTTGGCCTTTTGTCAGTTATTAAGGCAACACCGTCTTGGTGAGTGGTTTGCAGAAACTTTATGTTTATTAGAGGTTCTGTGGATTTCCCATAAATTGCTTTTATTTGAATTGAATTGAATTCAGTTTATTTCTATAGCTCCAATTCACATCATCTCATCTCAAGGCACTTTACAGTTCCACCAGATCATCCAGTCAGATTGATTCAAAGTTTTCAATCTAAGGAAGAGCAGTTGATTCCATTGACTCTTCAGCAATCCCTCACACTAAGCATGCTTGTAGCGACAGTGGAGAGGAAAAACTCCCTTTGAACAGGAAGAAACCTCCAGCAGAACCAGGCTCAGTGTGAGCGGCCATCTGCTGAGGCCCACTGGGGTTCAAGGAGACAGAAGCAGACATAGAAAAAGAAGCATAGATACAAAAGGCAACTGTCAACCAGCTCCACAGGCGGCCCCGTCCAGGAAACACACAGCCAGGCAGACGAGCTCCGAGCCAGCTCCACTGTCAGTTAGTCACAGCCAGAGAAACAGGACTACACTGAAAAACAAGCCGATCTCCAACATCTAGAAACAAAGGTGTTGATGGCAGCAGCACAGCTGATATTTCTCTCCAGGATGGAGTCACAGCCAAACAGGAACAGACCAGATGAAGCTACTATGAGAAACATTGCAAAATGATCCAACATTGCAACCAGGCGAGTGTTTAGTTGTTTTACTTCTAACGACTTCTCAGGCCACATAGAGAAACCTCAGTCACCACTGACATTTTTATACATGTGCATGCTCGTTGAAAGTTGTTTTATTTACTTATATTTTATTATTAAAGAGTTGTGAGATCTATTTTTGGTGCCGGGCATGTTAAACAGCTGCTACTTTATATAAGCATATACTCCACTGTTTTTTAAGCAGCCATTAGCTGATAATATTCCCTGATCTAATGTTACACTACATATCCATCTCTGCTGATTAAGGCTGGACAGATGATGGCAATGCAACATATTTCCAATTATATAAAGAGAAAATTGTTGTTTTTTTGTCATTATACATGGTCATGGTAGATTTTATGAGTAAGGCAGTAACTTTCTCTCTTCAGCCCTTCAGGTGTTGATGATGCACTTAAAGTGGGTCTGCCAACAAACAAAAGGACAAGTTTAGATTTTTTTGGCAAACGTTTGCATTTTGCAGTGTTATTGTCAGAGTTTAAGAGTTTGATTTTACACATTTAAAGGGTAACACCATTTTTTTTACAATGGGCCCTTGATTTTATGTTATTACCATCATGTTCTACTCACCCATATGAGTTTACTGTCATTTGGAGTCGTTCTGAAGATATTCCGTTATATTCCAAGTAACGTCTTCCTATGGGCAACGAGTTGAAGGCACAAACTAATCTGTTCATCATTTATTCTTTATGGTACGCCAGCATTCAGAACATGGAGGCCAATCACTGTCCCCCAGACATCCACGGTTATATTTTTTATATTTATATCTTTTAAATACAAAGCGACGCGTGTATGATGTCATCCGCGTACCGGACTGGAGTTGTGACAGGCAGCCCGGGCCACAGGCGGCTACGCTCTACCCCTTCTATTCATTCTAGCTCATCTGAATCGTTCAATTCCATTTGGAGAGCGAGATCATCTGTTCTAGCAGCACTAGACATCTTCCAGGCATGTGAGGAAAACTAGCAGCAGTTCAGCGGACAGGAAGAATGAACGGTAGCCGGCGCACACGGATGACATCATACACACTCTGCTTACCATAAAGAATAAATTATGAACAGTTTAGTTTGTGCCTTCAACTCGCTGCCCATAAGAAGGTGTTACTTGGATATTACAGAACCTAATATCTTCAGAACGGCTCCAAATGATGTAAAACTAATATGGGTGAGTAGAACATGATGGAATAACGGAAAATCAAGGGCCCAATGTAAAAAAAAAAAAAAATCTGTGTTCCCCTTAAACAGTCCGAGTGCATTTGGTCCCACTCTGTATTAGAGTTAAATTAACTTTATAAATTTTGTATATCTTACTCCAGTTGTAATAACTCTAAAAGAGTCAATGTATTTTTACGCTGCATATTTTACACTGTGGAACTGTGGAAGCCTGCTAATTGTTCGGAACGGCTCCAATGGATGGTGGGGTTCTGTCAGCTCAGCATACCCATAATAACACGCATTACATAGCTTCCTCTGTCTCCGCTCTCCTTACAGCCAATCACGCTGTTTTATTTTCCAATTTAGTCCGATTTTTTTCATAGTTTTGTGCATAAAACAACAAAAAAGTCCCTTTTCTGGGTCCACTACACATTAGCTTTTAAAAAAGAGCCATTGCAAGTCCTTTTGACAAAGATCTTATTAAAGAATGATCTGGCTTCGTTCACAGAGAATTAAATTTCTACAACTCATTTGACAGAATGAAATTTATTTGTTTTTAGTTTGTTTAATATGAAAGACATGGGAATCATTTTATTTTTATTTGTTTATCTTTAGAGTAAATAAAGAACGACTGTAATTATTTTCAGATTACACCTAAATAGATTCATTAATTCAGAGGGGGAAAATGAATTACTTTAGGTTAGGATTCACTCGGTGATACAACCTACTGAGCCTACTGGCGCAATCTGAAGCCATTCTTTGAGCCTGATAACTGCTAATAACGATCATGCGCACATGTGTTTTACTAACGGTATGCTGGCCTAACGCAGTATGCTGAGCTGACAGAACAGCAGCCCTACCTAGTTTTTATTATTTCAGAAAATCAGTATTTGACCACTTGAGGTAACTCGCAGAATCATAGCTACATAGCCAGATTCATTTTGTTCCCAATTAATATGGAGAGCCATTTCAGCCAAAATTAAATAAATAAATGGGTGAAATAAATAAAAAATGAGTAAAATAAATCAAAAAATGAAGAAAATGAGTGAAATAAATAAAAAATTTGTTAAATAAATAATTTAGCTTTTTCATTAAATTTTTAATTTATTTATTTTTCATATTATCAATTTCCCAATTTCTCTTTTTCATTTATCTATTTGTCATTTATCCCTTTATCATTTACCCATTTTTCATTAATCTAATTTATTATTTAACCACTTTTCAATTTCCCTTTTTCATTAAGCCAATTTTTTTATTTTTTTATTTTTCAGATTATCTATTTCTCAATTTCTGTTTTATCTATTTTTCATTTATCTATTTTTCATTTGTCCATTTTTCATTTATCCCTTTATTTATTTACCCATTTTTCATTTATCTATTTTTTAATTGAACCATTTTTCAATTTGCTTTTTCCATTAACCCGAT